CTTAACATAGCCTGTTGGCTGGGCTTAACATAGCCTGTGGCTGGGCTTAACATAAACATAGCCTGTGGCTGGGCTTAACATAGCCTGTGGCTGGGCTTAACATAGCCTGTGGCTGGGCTTAACATAGCCTGTGGCTGGGCTTAAACATAGCCTGTGGCTGGGCTTAACATAGCTGTGGCTGGGCTTAATATAGCCTGTGGCTGGGCTTAATATAGCCTGGGCTGGTGGCTGGGCTAATATAGCCTGTGGCTGGGCTTAATATAGCCTGTGGCTGGGCTTAACATAGCCTGTGGCTGGGCTTAATATAGCCTGTGGCTGGGCTTAACATAGCCTGTGGCTGGGCTTAACATAGCCTGTGGCTGGGCTTAATATAGCCTGTGGCTGGGCTTAACATAGCCTGTGGCTGGGCTTAACATAGCCTGTGGCTGGGCTTAACATAGCCTGTGGCTGGGCTTAATATAGCCTGTGGCTGGGCTTAACATAGCCTGTGGCTGGGCTTAATATAGCCTGTGGCTGGGCTTAATATAGCCTGTGGCTGGGCTTAACATAGCCTGTGGCTGGGCTTAACATAGCCTGTGGCTGGGCTTAATATAGCCTGTGGCTGGGCTTAACATAGCCTGTGGCTGGGCTTAATATAGCCTGTGGCTGGGCTTAACATAGCCTGTGGCTGGCTTAATATAGCCTGTGGCTGGGCTTAACATAGCCTGTGGCTGGGCTTAACATAGCCTGTGGCTGGGCTTAATATAGCCTGTGGCTGGGCTTAACATAGCCTGTGGCTGGGCTTAATATAGCCTGTGGCTGGGCTTAACATAGCCTGTGGCTGGGCTAATATAGCCTGTGGCTGGGCTTAATATAGCCCTGTGGCTGGGCTTAACATAGCCTGTGGCTGGGCTTAATATAGCCTGTGGCTGGGCTTAATATAGCCTGTGGCTGGGCTTAATATCGCCTGTGGCTGGGCTTAATATAGCCTGTGGCTGGGCTTAATATCGCCTGTGGCTGGGCTTAATATAGCCTGTGGCTGGGCTTAATATAGCCTGTGGCTGGGCTTAATATCGCCTGTGGCTGGGCTTAATATAGCCTGTGGCTGGGCTTAATATAGCCTGTGGCTGGGCTTAATATAGCCTGTGGCTGGGCTTAATATAGCCTGTGGCTGGGCTTAATATAGCCTGTGGCTGGGCTTAATATGCCTGTGGCTGGGCCTAATATGCCTGTGGCTGGGCTTAATATAGCCTGTGGATGGGCTTAATATAGCCTGTAATGTGCCTGGATTTATAGTCTTAGAAACTCAAAGTTGGGTCTAGTCTAGGCATTGTGGTGTTTCTTCAGCCAATCTTTATGTCAGGTGATGAGCCCAAGTTGTGTATACATTATTATACACAACTTGTAATTATAGAAGTGTAATTATGCACTTGTATAATTACCTAAGTGTAATTACCTAAGTGTAGTTACAGGATGAGAGCTAAGATCGTGGTGTCCCATCTTCCCAGCACTCTTTGTCGAATAACGCTTTGAAACTACTGACGGGTTTAGCCTCCATCACCTTCTCACTTAGCTTGCTCCAACCGTTTGCAATTCTGTTTGCAAAATAAAATTTTAATGTTTTTTTTCGGCACCTTTGTTTCCTTACCTTGAATCTGTAACCTCTTGTTCGTGATGTTGCTGGTGTCATAAATTCCTCTTTGCCAATTTGGTCGATTTCTGTTATTTTGTAAGTGGTCTCAAGCTTCCATACTTGAGACTCAACATCCCATGTTCTATTGGTATTAATTGTAAACATTTCCTCTTTTTTTCCCACCCTGTCAATCCCCCCTAAGTATTTTATACGTCTGATCATGTCCGCCCTTTCCCTCCTTCTTTCTAGCATCGTCGTGTTTAGTTCCTTCAGTCTCTCTTCATACCTCATCCCTCGCAACTCCTGGACGAGTCTCGTTGCAAACTTCTGCAATCTATCGAGTTTCCTTATGTGTTTTTTTAGATTGGGGTTCCAAGATGGGCGACATATTCTAAAACTGGTCTCACATACGCGGTATACAGTGAACAAAAGGCCTTCTTATGTGTGTGTGTGTGCTCACCTAGGTGTGCTGCGGGGGTTGAGCTCTGCTCTTTGGTCCCGCCTCTCAACCGTCAATCAACTGGTGTACAGATTCCTGAGCCTTTTGGGCTCTTATCATATCTACATTTGAAACCGTGTATGGAGTCAGCCTCCACCACATCACTTCCTAATGCATTCCATTTACTAACTACTGACACTGAAGAAGTTCTTTCTAACGTCTCTGTGGCTTGGTAAGGTTCAAGGTAAGGTAGGCTCATTTGGGTACTCAGCTTCCACCTGTGTCCCCGTGTTCGTATTCCACCCGTGTTTGTGTGTGTGTGTGTTCAATCACTAGCTTCGGCGTCCATGCACACAGACAGGCTCACACACACACACACACTCACAGACAGGCTCACACAGACAGACAGACAGACAAAGGGTTAGGGTCACACACACAGACTTAACAAAGGGTTAAGGAGGTTTGAATAATTCATGCTTCCCCCATCTTTATGTCTGTCATGTTGGCGACGGATTTATGATTATATCTCTCTTCTTTCACCCCCCCCCCCTCTCTCTCTCTCTCTCTCTCTCTCTCTCTCTCTCTCTCTCTCTCTCTCTCTCTCTCTCTCTCTCTCTCTCTCTCTCTCTCTCTCTCTCTCTCTCTCTCTCTCTCTCTGTCTCTCTCTCTCTCTCTCTCTGACGTGTATATCAGTGTATGGACGAGTATGATGAAGCTGGCATTTCAAAAGTTTAGACTAATTGTGGTTAAATCTTCAGAGGTCGCAGAGAAAGTGCTTAGATAAAAGTGGTAAAATGTGTTGGTGTGGAGCAGTGGCAGCATCTGTGAAGTGACCGCCTGACTTGTGAGCTCTTTGTTGAAGACGAGGAGCCGCCACGGGGAGCACAACGGCTCCCATAGTGAGGGTGGGAGGGAAGGACTCCAGTATGGAGGCTGCTGCCACTCTTGTGTTCCCTAGTCTATATGTGATTGGTCATTACGCCATCTATTGTGGCGGGTTGTGGGTGTGGCGGAGCTACTGTTAAGTTTAAAAATGTACGTACAGTCTTTGCTGTCGTGAAAGAAGCAGACAAAGTCGTAGTCTTCCTGGGGGACGTAGAAAATAATATGTTCAAGAAAGAAATTCAATTTCCGGTACGTGAGAAATACCAATTACATTAAAATTAGGACCGACTTTTGAGCGCAGTCGAAAAATATCTCGGAGCAGAAGTTAAAGTTTTAAACGTGGGAAAATTCTTTAAAAATCCTTTGTTTAAAGCAGTCAAGTCACAGCTGGAAGAAAAATTTAAAGTATGGATTGTAAAAACCTTTCAGACGAGAGATTCTCAGCCAGAGATAATTCTGAAATCACTTGTACTCTCTTTATTGGAACACTTGTTCACATAGACTGCCTCATTTAAGACTGGAGATTGTGCAGAGAACAAATCCACAAGGACCGTGACGAGGATTCGAACCTGCGTCCGGGAGCATCCCAGACACTTGTCCCTTGTGGATTTGTTCATTTGATGCATCACGTTAGTGTGATCTCTGTGTGTGTTGTGCAGAGAGTGTTGACTGATGCCAGTCTATTCTTCAAGTACTGGAATTATTGAGAACGCTAAAACTTCCTTTAAATTATATTGAGTGGAAGGCAGTGAGGAGATACGAGGACCCGACAGGCGTCCAGGGTATATGGTATAACCTAATAAAGTGGACCAACCTGCACCAACCACCTAATCTCTCCACCACGATGACAGTGTTACAAAAATTTACACTTCGAAAACTTTAATTTCCACTAAGAGACATTCATTTCAAAGTTTTATCTGTGTGGAGCGGCCAAAAAGAACACGGGGAGAGAGGCCTACCAGGCCTACATCTGCACACTAAACAATTGTTGACGAGAGCGGGAGGCGCCGCCCATCTTGCAAGACTTACCCCATCTTGCAAGACTTGCAGGGGGGAAAGTAAGTATACTTTCAGAGGTAATTATATAAGCGTAAAGGTTGCAACATCAGACTGCGTGTTGCAAGCACCAACAGTTGAGAGGCACTGGGGTCAGTGCCCTCCGGAAGGAGCAGGAGATGGTGAGGTTACTGCAGGAGTGGAGACAGGAGCCACTCAGTGTTGTGTAAGGCAGACATACTGAGGGAGCACTGTCCTGGGGGCCAAGAGCTGGAGCTCTCCCTCACTCTCCTCTGCTCAGCTCTTTATTCCTTGCATAATATTGTCAAAAGTAATATCAATGATGATTAAGTATGAGCTCCTCTCCCAGCATATCCCATTATACAAATTATTAATGAAATAATTGTATTTGATCAAAATTCGTACAGTATATGCCGTTAAGGCGGGTGCGAATTCCTATTGATTTTCAGTTGTGAAAAAGTGGTTTGCTAAATTTTAACTTTGAGCATAATTTATTTTTGTATGAATTTTCAGTGAGATTAATTATATTGAATTTCATGATTTTAATTCAATAACATTATTAATTCTGAAGAATTAAGGTTAAATTAATTAACTTCATGTTGCAGGACATGAAGATAGAAAGGGGGGAGTTGGGAGGGGAGGGAGAGGGGGAGGGAGGAATAGAGGGAAGAGGGAGGGAGAGGGGGATAGAAGGAAGGACGGGGGACGAGAGAAGGTGTGGGGGAGGAGCAGAAGGGGGGGGGGGAGGGTAGAGTTGATTTGAGGGAGGATATTGGGAGAGAGAGGGGAGAAAGGGAGAGTGGGGGGGACGAGTGGTGAGAGAGGAAGAGAGAGAGGGTTGACGTCGTCGTTGCGAGAACACTTCAAGAGTTTGCAATTACTTTTGAAGTAAATGCTAAATAATTGTCCAAACTTCGCGCTTTTTCAGAATTTCTTATTATTCTTGGTGTAAAGTCCCTTTAGCGCGCGAGGAACCTTGGTGTCTGGAGCACCAGGTGATGCATTACCACCACTAACATGCCGGAGGGGACAGGTAGACATGGCTGAGACACACATGATACAGCACCACTGGAACATGTTGTTCTTTAATGGAGAAAAAGGCATCATGGAAACTTTTTTGTGGCGATGCCTCCGTGGACGGGACCGAGGAGCTGGAGCTCTACCCAGCTGCTGCCTCCCCTCCACCCAGGAAACACAACAAGGCGAGTGTCACCACCAACCTGACTGACCTCGTCACTGGAGGGAAAATGGTGTCTTTATGTCTTGGGAACATTTACCCGATAAGGCGCGACTCCCGACACAAGGCTGCCACACTGACCTGAAGCGGGAGGCGGGAGACAAAGGGAATGAGAGAGAGGAACCAGAGGAAAGAAGGGTAAGGGAGGAAGGGCGAGAAGAGAAGCTGGGGACAGAGTAATTGATAGGGAGGGAGGGAGGGAGGGAGGAATGAAGAGAAAGAGTGGGGGGAGGGAGGGAGGGAGGGTGTACATACGCAAGTGTTCAAAATAATATTCACAATTGCACTTGGTCCAAACAACTAACACCGTCTGTAAGTGCTGCCTTTATCTTAACAATGTGTATAAGAAGTGTGTGTTATGGAGGCAACATGACCGCTCTACTCTGGCACTCTCGTCTCCATAACATGGAAAACATGGCAAGTGCCAGGTCAGTGGTTAGGTATATAATGTGAACCCAGAAAGCAAGAGACTTACGGGCTCACCATAGCCCGTGCTACATGGACACTTCGTCCTGAGTAGCTAAATCTTTAACAACAACAACAAGAAGCAACAGACGACGGGAGACATCTCCCGTCATGCAGGGTGCAGTCGCACCTCCACAGATCTCCAGTATCAGCTCTTGATACTGGTAATGGCTCATAAGGGCCACCACTTACGGGCTATTCATGCCCGTGTCACCTGTTGGCTGGCTTAATCTTCAGCCATCAGCAAGAGACTTACGGGCTATTCATGCCCATGCCACCTGTTGGCTGGCTTAATCTTCAGCCATCAGCAAGAGACTTACGGGCTATTCATGCCCATGCCACCTGTTGGCTGGCTTAATCTTCAGCCATCAGCAAGAGACTTACGGGCTATTCATGCCCGTGCCACCTGTTGGCTGGCTTAATCTTCATCAATCAGCAAGAGACTTACGGGCTATTCATGCCCATGCCACCTGTTGGCTGGCTTAATCTTCAGCCATCAGCAAGAGACTTACGGGCTATTCATGCCCATGCCACCTGTTGGCTGGCTTAATCTTCAGCCATCAGCAAGAGACTTACGGGCTATTCATGCCCATGCCACCTGTTGGCTGGCTTAATCTTCAGCCATCAGCAAGAGACTTACGGGCTATTCATGCCCGTGCCACCTGTTGGCTGGCTTAATCTTCAGCCATCAGCAAGAGACTTACGGGCTATTCATGCCCGTGCCACCTGTTGGCTGGCTTAATCTTCATCAATCAGCAAGAGACTTACGGGCTATTCATGCCCGTGCCACCTGTTGGCTGGCTTAATCTTCATCAATCAGCAAGAGACTTACGGGCTATTCATGCCCGTGCCACCTGTTGGCTGGCTTAATCTTCATCAATCAGCAAGAGACTTACGGGCTATTCATGCCCATGCCACCTGTTGGCTGGCTTAATCTTCAGCCATCAGCAAGAGACTTACGGGCTATTCATGCCCGTGCCACCTGTTGGCTGGCTTAATCTTCATCAATCAGCAAGAGACTTACGGGCTATTCATGCCCATGCCACCTGTTGGCTGGCTTAATCTTCAGCCATCAGCAAGAGACTTACGGGCTATTCATGCCCATGCCACCTGTTGGCTGGCTTAATCTTCAGCCATCAGCAAGAGACTTACGGGCTATTCATGCCCGTGCCACCTGTTGGCTGGCTTAATCTTCATCAATCAGCAAGAGACGCCGCACCAATGATGGTACGGAATATTATTCGGACCTCGCATCCCGTTCCAAGGCTATCTTGAGGTTATCTTGAGATGATTTCGGGGCTTAGCGTCCCCGCGGCCCGGTCCTCGACCAGGCCTCCTTTTTGTTACACACACCACCAGGAAGCAGTCCGTAGCAGCTCTCTAACTCCCAGGTACCTATTTACTGCTAGGTGATCAGTGGCATCAAGGTGCAAGAAACTCTGCCCATTTGTTTAAGCCTCGTGCGGGAATCGAACCCGCGCCACAGTGTTACGGGTCCTGCGCGCTATCCACCAGGCTACCAGGCCCCCTGTGTGTGTGTGTGTATGTGTGTACTCACCTAGTTGTGCTTGCGGGGGTTGAGCTCTGGCTCTTTGGTCCCGCCTCTCAACCGTCAATCAATAGGTGTACAGATTCCTGAGCCTATTGGGCTCTATCATATCTACACTTGAAACTGTGTATGGAGTCAGCCTCCACCACATCACTTCCTAATGCATTCCATTTGTCAACCACTCTGACACTAAAAAAGTTCTTTCTAATATCTCTGTGGCTCATTTGGGCACTCAGTTTCCACCTGTGTCCCCTAGTGCGTGTGCCCCTTGTGTTAAATAGCCTGTCTTTATCAACCCTCTCGATTCCCTTGAGAATCTTGAATGTGGTGATCATGTCCCCCCTAACTCTTCTGTCTTCCAACGAAGTGAGGTTCAATTCCCGTAGTCTCTCGTCGTAGCTCATACCTCTCAGCTCGGGTACTAGTCTGGTGGCAAATCTTTGAACCTTTTCCAGTTTAGTCTTATGCTTGACTAGATATGGACTCCATGCTGGAGCCGCATACTCCAGGATTGGTCTGACATATGTGGTATATAATGTTCTGGAAGATTCCTTACACAAGTTTCTAAAGGCCGTTCTTATGATAGCCAACCTGGCATATGCTGCTGATGTTATCCTCTTGATATGAGCTTCAGGGGACAGGTCTGGCGTGATATCAACCCCCAGGTCTTTCTCTTTCTCTGACTCTTGAAGTATTTCATCTCCCAAGTGATAGCTTGTATCTGGTCTCCTGCTTCCTACCCCTATCTTCATTACATTACATTTGCTTGAGTTAAACTCTAACATCCATTTGTTCGACCATTCCTGCAGCTTGTCCAGGTCTTCTTGAAGCCTTAAGCTGTTGTTGTGAAGCAAGCTGTGTGCGTGTGTGTGTGTGTGTGTGTGTGTGTGTGTGTGTGTGTGTGTGTGTGTGTGTGTGTGTGTGTGTGTGTGTGTGTGTGTGTGTGTGTGTGTGTAATGAAGCAGCAACAATGACCATTAAGAATGGTACATTCTCTGTGGCAGGAAATATCTTTGTTGAAGCTCAAGTACGTCTTTGTTCTACAGGGAGCCCTCACCCTTCCCCGCCCTCACCCTGCCCCGCCCTCACCCTGCTCCGCCCTCACCCTGCCCCGCCCTCACCCTGAAATAGGTCAAGAAGTAGATATTAGTCTGGTGGATATACACGAGGCCACGCGAGACCACACGAGGCCACGCGAGGCCACACGAGGCCACGCGAGAACACACAAGGCCACACGCAGCCACACGCGGCCACACGAGACCACACGAGGCCACACGAGACCACACGAGGCCACGCGAAGCCACACGAGGCCACGCGAGTACTTGACATAAATTATCTGAATGTCGAAGTCGACACATTCAAATCAATGTGTGTATATTGCAAAAATGCAAAACTAATGAATAATAGCACACGAGGATTGTAAAAACACGCAGGACGACCTGGAAAATCTTCCGGGATGGCTGGAGGAAAGACAACTAGAGGCTTCAACTCGTAAGAATGTAAGGTAATGGAAATTGTGGAGCCAGCAAGGAGACCAATATAACATGAATTGGAAAGGAGACGACTTCCTGAACCTTCAGTATAGCTGTGATGATATATTTATTGGCTAACATTAGAACTGCCTTCAGAAACTTGTGTAAGGAATCTTTCAGAACCTCGTATACCACATATGTAAGACCAATCCTGGAGTACCAAAATGACTTAACAAAGACGGTCAAGGGGACATCCCACTGGGACCATTTTCTCCACCATGCGATAAGTACCTACACATAAAGTTGAACAAATAAACATATATAATATTATAAATATACTGTAGACATATTACATATTTACCCCCTTCACTTCCCCCTTCAGAGCAGGAGAGATTGCTGAAATAGAGGGAATACAGAGAGCATATACGGCATACATAGACGGGATAAAGCACCTAAATTATTGGGATCGTTTCAAAGCTCTCCAAATGTACTCACTAGAAAGGAGACGAGAGAGATACCAAATAATATACACATGGGAAATACTGGAGGGCCAGGTCCCTAATCTACCCAGTAAAATATCAACATACTGGAGTGAACAATATGGAAGAAAATGCAGAATAGAACCAATGAAGAGCAGGGGTACCATAGGCACAATCCGAGAACACTGTATAAACATCAGAGGTCCACGGTTGTTCAACACCCTCCCAGCGACTATAAGAAATATTGCAGAAACAACCGTGGACATCTTCAAGAGAGAACTAGATTGCTTTCTAAAAAAAGTGCCGGACCAACCGGGCTGTGGTGGATATGTGGGTCTGCGAGCCGCTGCAAGCAACAGCCTGGTGGACCTAGCTCTCACAAGTCAAGTCTGGCCTCTGGCTGAGCTTGGGGAGTAGAAGAACTCCCAGAACACTATCAAGCAGGTATCAAACAGGTAATGAGCCACAGAGACGTTGGAAAGAATTTTTTCAGTGTCAGAGTTGTTAGTAAATGGAATGTGCTAGGAAGTGATGTGGTGGAGGTTGATTCCATACAGTTTCAAATGTAGATATGATAGAGCCCAATAGGCCCACGAATCTGTACACCAGTTGATTGACGGTTGAGAGGCGGGACCAAAGAGACAAAGCTCATCCCCCGCAAGCACAACTAGGTGAGTACACACACACACACACACACACACACACACACACACACACACACACACACACACACACACACACACACACACACACACACACAAACACACACACACACACACACACACACACACACACACACACACACACACACACACACACACACAAACACACACACACACACACACACACACACACACACACACACACACACACACACACACACGCAATAAACTGTACCCTGGGTATCGCAGGCCAAGGTGCCATAACCCAGCCCTGCTGTTATAACTAAAGGAGTTAATAACCGAGGTTGGAAGAGGGGGGGGGGGGTAACAAAAGCTGGGTGATGTGAGGTAGTGTACACGGAACTTATTAGATTAAACAATTAGTGGGCACAGGCGACCCCTTTACCTCCGGCAGGGGCCCCGCTCTGGATGACAAGGGCCGACTGTTTCTGCCCTGGCCAGCCCTCACCGCTCACACCCCCAGAACACCCCTAAACCCACTCCCAGCCGCATACCAACACTCTACTTTAGGGACTATGACTTGAGCATGTTTATGTTGACCCGGGGAGGTTACCCTCAACATATTGACTTGCACCTTAAACACTCATGTATCACCCAACACACTATGGGTCCTGCTGGCCGGACTACAACAATGACAATATCTTGTTTTATTGTATTTTATGTTTCTTTTTCCTTGAATATTATTCGTAGCTATACATCCGAGTTGCTTATTGACCTGTGTGGCCCGTCGAGGATATAATTCAGTTTTTGTAACAAAACTGAAAGATGGATGGCTTCAGCCTTGTTTAACATTCATCCCATAACATTCGCCCCATATATATATATATATATATATATATATATATATATATATATATATATACATATATATATATATATTTATTTATTTGTGTTTTGTCTTTATCCATCCTGTCAATTCCTCTGAGAATTTTGTAGGTCGTGATCATGTCTCCCCCTTACCTTAACTCTTCTGTCTTCTGGAGACGTGAGGTTTAGCTCCCGTAGTCTTTCGTCGTAACTCATACCTCTCAGTTCTGGGACTAGTTTGGTGCCATCACACTTGAATCTTCTCTAACTTTGTCTTGTGTTTAACTAGGTATGGACTCCAGTGCATTCTCCAGGATTGGTCTGACATAAGTGGTATACAAGGTCCTGAACGATTCCTTACACAAGGTTCTAAAGGCAGTTCTTATGTTGGCCAATCTAACACATGCCTCTGATGATATCGTTTTGATGTGGGCCTCTCGGGACAGGTTCGGTGTGATATCAACCCCCAGATCTTTCTATTTGTACTCACCTAGTTGTGCTTGCGGGGGTTGAGCTTTGGCTCTTTGGTCCCGCCTCTCAACTGACAATCAACTAGACTGTGTGCGCGTTCTTGCGTGCACGTGTGTGCGTGCGTGTGATTCAGTGGCTAGGAACGCACAGGAACTAGTCTCCGCTGCTCTGAAGGGGCCTTTATGTGTATAACAAGACGCTCCTTCACATCTACACGACCTATACTCCTTCATATCCTCCACACTCCTACACTCTCCTTATGCATGATCTACACTTTTAAACACCTCTTACTCAAACACACACACACACACATATATATACGACCTATCGAATGTTGGGGCTTAAGATTAGATACCTGAACCTACAAGCTCAACTAGGTGAGTACACACACACTAGATGGGATACCCGGATGTGCTGGGATCTCTCTCTCTCTCTCTCTCTCTCTCTGGAGTCTCTCTGAAGTCATGGATGACTCCAGTCATCCATGTTACTCTAATTTTATAATTCAAAGCATCTAGTCAGTCAAATTAGAAATGTTACTTTATTAAAGCAACTTTGACCTGTGGGCGATGCTCTTGAAGTTTTGAGCCAGCCAATATCACTTGTTGGAACTTAACGTTTTATTATTTTTTTTTTTTGCAGGAGGAGATCAGCGCTGTGTTCGGGGAAAACGAGGAGAGGTCGGCCTCCCAGGACCATCATCCACGACCACGCACGCCCGCACGCCCACCTCTGGCTGATGGCCAGGGTTCGCCCTCAAAAATACGCAAAGTTTACTCAGGTGCCGAGAAGACAGAAACCTACGTGACCCGGCGACAGGTCTCCTCTATTCCATATCCACGTCGCCGCATCCCCTTCACCAGGAAGACCCGTCGTGTGTCTGCCCCTACCCTCTCCATTGCCCATGCTTGCAGTGGTAGCTCCTCTCCACCACCTTGGCAGCCGAGGACAGATCCGCTCTTCCAGCAGTGGTCCAGAGGGCTGTTAAAAGACTTCCATTCCTTGGTAGAGGAGGAGATACGGACCCTCCGCGAATCCAAGTCGCCTCCAGATACCACCCTACAATATCACTGGCAACATTTGTTGAGTGACAGTGGCAAATTAAGAGAGAGTGAGAGGCTGGTGAACGCCTACACTACTGGCTGCCAAGCTGGGGAGTGTGCGGCTACAAAGGTTGCCGGGGAACCTTGCCAGAAGTCATTATGTGGCCATGATAATGAGGCAGTATTGCAGCCATTAAGTCAGGCCTCTCTCATCATTGCCGAAGAAATGGGTGCTACTCAAAGTGCAGGTCGGGGAGATACATGGGCAGGAGAGCGGTCACCTGCTTTCAAGACGTACACCCTGCCACGGGGCCACCGTAGTGTTAGTCTTAGTGGTGCTGGAGCCATCACCTACCGTGACTCCAGTGGCCACCCCGACGACTCTGACATCAGTTGTCAGTTGCTACGGGTTAACCCTCGCTTCTCACGTTCCCATTCCCTGGACGAAGGCACAGGGCTCAGCCCATGGGCACTCCAGCATCTAGCCGTCATCGATGACACTAATGCCAGCCCGCCACCCACACCTGCAGACGAGAGCAGCAGGGCCAGCCAGTCAACCCTCTCTACTGTGACGGAGCCTCAGACCATACCAACGACGCCTCGTGACCCTTTGGGCTTTACAGAGCTTAGCTCACCAGCAGTACACTATGGTAAGACAAGGAAGACTGGATACACAGAAAAAGATAATGAACCCTTCCGGTCACATGCAGTGGAGTGTGACCAGAGTAACTACAGCACTGGGGGACTGACCAATGGGTGGGATGACCATCCTACCCTCACCTTCCCTGCCACATGCACACATTCCACTAACTCTACTGATTCCATCAAACTTCACAGAGTATCGGAGAGCTTCCTAAATAGTAATGGATCTTCAGCTTTCACACCAGCGGATCTGCGGAAGGGCGTGAGTGAGCCATGGGAGTGGGCAGACCAGGAGGGAGCCTGCAGCCTCACTGACCGACCCTGCGACCCCAACTCCTGCACTCGCTGTTATGCCAAGATGATGTCTGTTTCAGAAGAAAAATTTAAATGTGAGGACGTTATGAACCAGAAAGAGACAACGGCGGCATCTCCTACTGGGTGTAAGCTAGGTAGAGGAGTGCCTGAGATTGAAGGAATGGGAGAAGCAGTTCGCACTCAGTATAAAGACAGTGTGTCTGTGTGTGTCACTCCACCTGAGTTATTAAATGACTCTTACTCTGAAGAAGTGTTTCCATGTGATATTCCCACCGAGGCAGAAATACCAGGCGAGAGACTCTCATGCAATAGAGAATGGAGTGGGGTGGGGCGTAAGAGTGAGCCATCACTACTGAGTGTGATGGGGCTGCCAGGGCAACTGGATGGCCGTCGTCATACACTGCCTGTCCCAAGAGCCTTTGGCAGCTTGTCCTTCCTGTCTGTGCCCGTCCCGACCTTCAATACCTCGTCCTGGGAGACGCTGCCTCCAGCTGATGAGCTTGAAGTGGAGTTGGAGGAGAAACCGATCACTGGAAGTGTGGTGAGGCCCACTTCTCCAGCTGTAAGTGCCACTTCTTCCCGCTCACTTAACTCGTCCCTCTCCTCGCTATCACTGAGTGTCCACCCAGATCATTCTGAGTGTGACTCATGGCCTTCATCGCCCATGGCCCAGCCATACCTTACTCCCGACGTGTTCTTCGACCCAACCGCAATGGCTGTTCCATTCAAACCTGATGATTTCTCCTTAAAGGGTTGGCTATATGAAGATGATAGCATTTTTATGCCCAGAGGAAGAAGAGAGGCTGATGTAGTCTTGGATTCTGGTATTGAGAGCCATCAGGCCAAGATGAAGGTAACTAAAAGCATTCAGTCTCCAGAGCCCATTATGGGTATGCTGCATACAAGTCCTGAGGGGTACCAGGGGCGAGGTGATATTATTTTCTCTGTCTCCATCCCCGAAGACCATAGGAAAGACAGACACAAGAGTAACCTTTCGTTTAGCTCCACCAATGAAAGTAGTGATATCAGTACAATATGTGATAAGTCGGAATCACAAGTCAGTGACTTGAGGGATGAGGATACTATGGCCAATGTTACTAGGAACGAGGCAGCAGACGCACATCCTGAAAGCCTATGTCCCCGCCTGGCCAGTATTAGCCTCCAAGATGGGGAAGACAAATGTGACTTGGAGAAAAAAATGATTGGCTGCAGAGACACCAAGGACAGTGGCGTGACGGACCTTTCCAGCAGTGTGGAAGGCTCGGCGGCAGTATATTGGCACCGAAACCAGACGAGGGAAAGGTTGGAGGGAGACCTATTGAGGCCACCCGCCAGGTATCGCAGCTTTTCTCTGGACGAGACCACTTCTGCTCTTCATAATCAAAACATTAAACTAGTGAACTCTGCCACACAGTCGGTACGTGAACAAACTCTTATGTTTCAATACATATAACTAACTAGATGGGTACACGCCTGGGTATTGACCCCTACCCTCTCTCTCTCTCTCTTCTCTCTCTCTCTCTCTCTCTCTCTCTCTCTCTCTCTCTCTCTCTCTCTCTCTCCTCTCACCCTCTCTCTCTCTCTCTCTCTCTCTCTCTCTCTCTCTCTCTCTCTCTCTCTCTCTCTCTCTTTCTCTCTCTCCCTCACTCTCTCCCTCTCCCTCAACTCCATAATAGTACTATGATTTAGACGTGTATCAAACATTTTATGGCATGAAAAATATAGTGTTGCGAATAAAAAGCTTACGTTATTATTAGAAGGAGTGAAAATATGTATAAATGAAGGAGAGAGAGAGACAAAGAGAGAGAGAGAGAGAGAGAGAGAGAGAGAGAGAGAGAGAGAGAGAGAGAGAGAGAGAGAGAGAGAGAGAGAGAGAGAGAGAGAGAGAGAGAAGGATGAAGTGTGTGTGAGGGAGACAATAGACCTGGCAGGCACAATAAGCCGGTTCCCTGAATACCAATCGAGGCGCCAGCAACTTGTCAAGACTGCCGATCAACCTCCTCCGCCCTCACTCATCTCTCTTCACCTCGCCATATCCAGCGCCATCTTGACCTCCAGTCCTGTGTCGAGATCCAGGTCTGACTCCACCCCCACAATCATGTTGGATATGTAGACAGCTCCAAGAACTCTCTCTCTCTATCTTTCACTTCTCTGTGAGGGGTGGAAAGAAGTAGGCGTAATCTCAAACCTGTGAGTGAAGGTATATGGAGATTGAGTTGATAAGTAGATAAATAAAGAAGTTAATGTATGAAGAGTTTGGCTGGAAGCCACTGGGCATAAAAAACGGGTATTTGCATGGAGAGAAGTGGGACAGGTGGCGGGAGCCCCTTACTACTGGGTAAGAGTTCAAGTCTTGTGCAAAACTGAACTGTGTGTGTACTCGAATATTTCACTTATAATTAGCTTTGACGGGGACACACACACATATCTGTATCTCTCTCTCTCTCTCTCTCTCTCTCTCTCTCTCTCTCTCTCTCTCTCTCTCTCTCTCTCTCTCTCTCTCTCTCTCTCTCTCTCTCTCTCTCTCTCTCTCTCTCTCTCTCCCTCTCTTTCTCTGTATATATATATATATGATATCGCAACCTAATAGGCGGGAGCAAAGAGGCAAAGCTCAACTACTACTACTACACACACATAATTAGGTGAGCACACATGTTTGTTTGTGTGTGTGTGTAAATGCGGGAATGTCCACTTTTGACTTAGATATGTGTCAGTATAGCCATGTTTATGATAATCTCTTAATCTCACTGCTACAGCCCTTTTTGTCGCAAGCTACACTAACTCTCCCTCATACCCTATGCTGCCCCTCTCTCACGCTCCCTCATACCCTATGCTGCCCCTCTCATGCTCCCTCACACCCTGTGCTGCCTCTCTCTCACGCTCCCTCATACCCTATGCTGCCTCTCTCTCGCTCCCTCATACCCTATGCTGCCTCTCTCTCGCTCCTTCATACCCTATGCTGCCTCTCTCTCTCGCTCCCTCATACCCTATGCTGCCCCTCTCTCGCGCTCCCTCATACCCTATGCTGCCTCTCTCTCTCGCTCCCTCATACCCTATGCTGCCCCTCTCTCGCGCTCCCTCATACCCTATGCTGCCTCTGGCACACCTCCACATGCCCTTACCCATATGACGTGTCGTTGCAGCACCGGCCGGAGGCCCTCGTGGACTTCCTGAAGGCGGTCGAGTCTCGCATCCGGAGCGGCAGCGTCGACCAGTCGTCGCCCCGTGACGCCCCGCTGCCCTGCTTCCCTCCGTCGCCGACGTCGCCGCGGGAGCTGTCGTTCTGCCCGGCGGTGGTGCTGGACGCCTGCACCCAGACCACGCCCACGCCCCCGCCCACGCCCCCGCCGGCCTCCAGGGCCTCCTCCGTCACTTGGCTCAGTGACTGCGGCTGTGACGACGTGGCCTCCATGGAGCCCTGTGCCTCCTCTCTGGCTCTCAGTGCCACTGAAGACGACTACGGTGAAGACGACGACGACGACGACGATGACTGGTCTGCGGGCGTGTCGCTGTCATCGTCGTCGCCGCCGCCCACGCCCGCGTCCTTGCCCCGCGACGACTCCTCCCTCTCGCTGTCGGAGTCGCTGGACACGCTGGACCTGAACGGCGAGTCCGGGATCGGGACGGTGTCGACGCGGCCGTCCGTCAGCCCGTACCCGCATGCGGCGCTGCTCGACCTCTCGGGCTCCAACCTGTCCTCCGAGGACACGGGGCTCGAGAACAGCTTCGAGCGGCAGCTGCGGCGGTACATCCCGCACCACCGCGGTGGGCGGGAGGGCGAGGGCGGCGGCCACTACCGCCGCCGCCGCCCACGCCACCACGAGCAGTGGGTGCGGCGGGAGGACCAGACCACCCAGACCGACCCGGAGCCGCCCGCGCCCGCCCACGCCCTCGAGGACGACAGCAATGATAGCCTCCGCGAGTCGCGGGAGACGCTGGATCCTCGCGGGTTGCGGGCGGTGCGACACACCCACAGCGAGCCGCGTCTCGACGCCCACATGACGCCCATCGTGGGCGTGCTGCGGGGCGTGTGTAGCGAGACGACGATCACGCCCACTTACGCCTCCCGCACGCACTTCACGCCCTCGGCGCCCACACTGCCCACCCTGACGGAGGACAAGCCGCCCATAGCGCCCTCGCGACCCCGCCACCTGTCTCTGTCGTCGCCGCCCACACAGACGCCCGCGGGGAAGGCGTGTTCCGCCCCCGCCCTGGAGACCCGCGCCCACCACACCCCGGCCACCACGCCCTCAGAGGAGTCATCCGGAGAGACCTCGGTGAGTATGCCTCTTGTCCTGTTAATATACCCGCATACCCGCTCACTGTGTACCTAATACCCGCACCATACACCTACCCGCTCACTGTGTACCTAATACCCGCACCATACACCTACCCGCTCACTGTGTACCTAATACCCGCATCTTACACCTACCCGTTCACTGTATACCTAATACCCGCACCATACACCTACCCGCTCACTGTGTACCTAATACCCGCACCATACACCTACCCGCTCACTGTGAACCTAATACCCGCACCATACACCTACCCGCTCACTGTGTACCTAATACCCAAATACAAGTCACAATTTCATATCATCCTTTGCAGATGACACAAAAATCAGCAGGAAAATTACCTCTGCTGAAGACATTGAAAAACTACAAGCAGATATTAATAAAGTTTTCGACTGGGCAGCAGAAAATAACATGATGTTTAACAGTGATAAATTCCAGGTACTCAAAAATGAGGACCCTAAAGATAATACAGGGTACAAAACACAATCAAATGTGCCCATAGTAGGAAAGCAACGTGTAAAGGATATGGGAATAATGATGTCTGACGACCTAACGTTTAGGGAGCATAGCCAAGCAAATATTGCGTCTGCTAGAAATATGATAGGATGGATTACGAGAACTTTCAAATCCAGGGATACCATCACAATGGTTGTACTCTTCAAGTCACTTGTGTTGTCCCGCCTTGAGTACTGCTCAGTACTCACTTTCCCCTTCAGAGCAGGAGAGATTGCTGAAATTGAGGGAATACAGAAAAATATACGGCACGCATAGACGAGATAAAGCACATAAATTATTGGGATCGTCTCAAAGCTCTCCAAATGTACTCACTAGAAAGAAGACGAGAGAGATATCAAATAATATACACGTGGAAAATACTGGAGGACCAGGTCCCAAACTTGCACAATAAAATAACAACGTACTGGAGTGAACGATATGGAAGAAAATGCAGAATAGAACCAGTGAAGAGCAGAGGTGCCATAGGCACAATCAGGGAACACAGTATAAACATCAGAGGTCCACGGTTGTTCAACATGCTCCCAGCGAGCATAAGAAATATTGCGGGAACAACCGTGGACATCTTCAAGAAAAAACTATATAGTTTTCTCCAAGGAGTGCAGAATACACTCGTTGAAAAGCAGAGGTGCAACAGGTACTCTGAGAGAGAACTCTATCAACATCAGAGGCCCGAGACTGTTTAACACGCTTCCACTACACATAAGGGGCATAACTGGCCGACCCCCTCACCGACCCCTCGGGCCGCTCCAAGCAACAGCCTAATGGATCAAACTCTCACAAGTCAAGTCTGGCCTCGACCGGATTTGTGGAGTAGAAGAACTCCCAGAACCCCATCAAGCAGGTATCAACCAGGTATCAACCAGGTATCAACCAGGTATCTTACAGTGTCCATGAGAGAACTGGATAAACACTTCCAAAGGATACTTGATCAACCAGGCTGTGATTCATACATTAGACTGCAAGCAGCCGCGTCCAACAGCCTGGATGACCAGTCCAGCAACCAGGAAACCTGGTCGAGGACCGGGCCGCGGGGACGTTGCGCCCCCGAAACATGGCAAGGTAAAGTACTCTCCCACACCCCACATACACTCTTAATACACTCCTAACTTACATTGTCACCTTCACGCTCACTAAATTAAGTTGCCGACCTATCTGCACACTTAAAAAATACAATACAAACTTCGCAATTGTCATACTTCTACAAGCTACTGGAATATAAAATAAAATAATGATTGATATTAACGAAGAAATGCAGGTTAGAGAATATAGACTTTTCAGTGGCGGTTAATTGAGATTTACCTTAATTTACCTCAGGACCATCAATTCTAGCGGCCTCGACGGAAGGACAGGAAGCCAATGGCTTGCCAAATGTCCTCGTTATTCCAGAAGATTTTATTTTTGCAAAATAAATTTTAAACTGAAGTATATCCTAAGCCTTTACGGCTCCAGGGAGTAAGGTGGAATCCGAAAGTTTGCCTTCCTAGAAATCAAAAAGCATTCTTTGTTTTTTTCTTATTCACTGCCAACTGTGTTTAAGGAAGTAGTGTAAGGAACAGTCAATCGGAGGCGGTTATTGTGACGTAACAGTGAAAATAAAAAAATAGGTTGAAACTGGAGAGAATCATTTAAAAATAAACAAAGGAGTTATACAAAATGTTATTCAATAAATATTAACCAAATTCTTTAGCCACTCCTTTCTTCTAAAGCGTTTTCTATGAAGGGTGAGAAAGAAAATCCGGCAAAAGTTTTAGGATGACTATAATAAATTTGTCTCCTATTCAGCACTGCCACTGTTTACTAAATTATGGGGCACTGAACGATAATCTTAAATTTGAGGTCCTTGAGATATAATCCTAAATAAACACACACACACACACACATGCGTGTGTGTGTGGAGGCAGACTGAATCACAGTTTCAAATGTAGATTTGATAGAGTCCACTAGGCTCCAGAATGTGTACACCAGTTGATTGACAGTTGAGAGGCGGGACCAAAGAGCCAGTGCTCAACCCCCGCAAGCACAATTAGGTGAGTACACACTCACTGATATTAAGCATATATAATAAGGCACATATAAGAATACCGGTGGTGGGATGAGTGCGGGGCAGGGTAAGGCAGCCAGCCTCCCGGCCCCACCACCATGGTGCCGGGGTCCATGCTCATGTCAACAGTGCAGGGGTCATGTATACCATAGTAGGTTGACCTGTGCCAATAGAGACTAACGTGCGTGTATTCCCCCCACACAGGCGCTGACCACCAGAGCTCAGTCCTCCAAGGAGATAGCAGGTGAGTTGTCCAGATAACGTCTTGTTTGTCGGCTCCCAACCTTGTGCAACTCTTACTCTCTGTGGAGGCATTCTCCTCACCCTAGGCTCTCCTCACCCCAGGTTCTCCTCACCTCAGGCTCTACTCCAAGCAGGGGTCTCCTCACTCCATGCTCTTCTGCTTCAAAGGTAAGGCAATAGTAAGGAAGTGTGTGTGTACCTTGACCAGAGTTGTTAGGACTGAAGGGACGGATATGAGGAGGTGGCGCCTGGACCGTTCAACCCGGGCTTCTTCAACAGCCTCTGATTGGTCGAAATGTCGGTAGCCCGTAAATTTGTTTACAACTCTTGCTGCACTGGACCATCGATTATTAAACGCGAGTAAAGATTATTAAGATTGATAGAAAACGACGATAAAGAATTTATCGTCGCAATAAAAGCATTTGTCATGATAAGACGCCATTGAAAATGTTGAGTTTTATATATTATCTTGGACGAGGAGATCTGTAGACCAGCGTCATGGGGTCTACCCCCCATGACGGGGTCTACCCCAATACCCCCCGTTGAAGAGCAGAGGTGCAACAGGTACTCTGAGAGAGAACTCTTATCAACATCAGAGGCCCGAGACTGTTCAACACGCTTCCACTACACATAAGGGGCATAACTGGCCGATCCCTCAGTGTTCAAGAGAGAACTGGATAAGCACCTCTAAAGGGTACCTGATCAACCAGGCTGTGATTCATACGTCAGGCTGCGAGCAGCTGCGTTCAACAGCCTGGTTGACCAGTCCAGCAACCAGGGGACCTGGTCGACGACCGGGCCGCGGGGACGCTAAGCCCCGGAAACACTTCAAGGTAACCTCAAGGTAAGGTATATTTTCTCTCCACAAGCACAGAAGTAGAGTGAAGGAAAGCTCAAAATGAGTAAGAGTTTGAAAGGTGGTAATATTAGCTTCTTCCGATAAATTCCCGAGAATTTAGACTTTTCCCGCAAGGTGGCTGGAGTCCGTCCATTGGTGTTCAGTCATGCGTGGTGATGGTGTCACCGGAGAGGTGATGACGATAACTCCGTGTTTGCTGCCATCTTTATCCAAGACTGTGAAACTTTCCCCACCTCCCCCCCTCCCCCTTCTCTATTTCCCTTCCCCCCTCTCTATTCCCCCCCTCTCTCTCTTTCTCTCCCCCCTCTCTATTCCCCCCTCCCCTCTCTCTCTCTCTCTCCCCCCCCACTCTCTCTCTCTCTCTCTCTCTCTCTCTCTCTCTCTCTCTCTCTCTCTCTCTCTCTCTCTCTCTCTCTCTCTCTCTCTCTCTCTCTCTCTCTCTCCCTCCCCTCTCCCCCCTCCCCCCCTTCCTTCCTTCCTTCCTTCCTTCCTTCCTTCCTTCCTTCCTTCCTTCCTTACGTCCCTTCTTCTTCTTCTTCCCCCCCTCCCCCTCCCATACCATCGTCAGTTACTGTACCTCTTACTCACTCACTTACTTACTAGAACTCTTACTCTGTACTGTAAAAACATAATTATAATCTCGGCTAATTATATAAAACAAATATTTACACTAAATTATTATACATTGAAGGAAGGTCTTTTGCAAATACATAAAATAATTTAGATATGGGGTATAACAGCTGCTTCTATTTATTCCCATTCAAACTCATTCATATATGTCTGACCTGCGCTTGAAACACCTCAAGTGTTCCGACGTGTATCACGTCACCTGCTAATGTGTTCCACAAATCAATAACGCTGCATGTTTCTGAACCGTTATTTGCCTATTTCTTTCCCGACTCTAAACCTTATTCAATTTACATCCATTGTTTCGTGTTTTATTTTGTGTTGACACTATTAATATCATCTTTGAGAAAAGTAACAGGAGCCTTATGGAGGGATTCGAACCCGGCACACTTGGTACTGTACCCAGCCCACGCCCCACACCACTTGGCTAAGCGTGTACCAAGTGTGTGGATCTGAATCCTCCTCATGGGTTCCTACTGATGTTCTCTTCGAGACATCACGCTAATGTTGAACTCCTCTTCATATGGGTGTTATATAGTCGTGATGGCTCGGTGCTTCTCCTGATAGTTCCCTTCCCTTCTTCATGTGGGAGATTTCAAATTTGCGGGATTAACTTTGTCATGCTTCGCTGAACGCGTTCAAGTGAATTTATGTCCATTCTATACTATGGCGACTAAAACTGAACTGCATAATCTATATGGGGCCCTAACACCAGAACGATATAGCCAAATAATAACACTTAAGTGTTTTATTGCTAGCACTTCTAGAAATAATTCCCAATATTTGCCTTATTTCGATAATTTATTGATTCATTTATATTTGTCTATAAATTCCTTCTACTAATGACCTCCAGATCTTGACATCTGGACAAGTCCAGATCTGGACATCTTCAAGAGAAAACTGGACTGTTTTCTAAGAGAAGTTCCGGATCAGCCGGGCTGTGGTGGGTATGTGGGCCTGCGGGCCGCTCCAAGCAACAGCCTGGTGGACAAAGCTCTCACAAGTCGAGCCTGGCCTCGGGCCGGGCTTGGGGAGTAGAAGGACTCGCAGAACCCCATCAACCAGGTATCAACAACCAGGTATCTTCTTCGCAATCAGACTTTGCAATTAACGGGCTAAAAAGGTTCCAAAATCAGAGAAGAAATGTTATCATTGTGGAGAAATGTCCAACAGTCCACTGTAACATTATCTTACACGACACTTAAGTTACAACTCACATCACCACTGAGATTTAATAACCCAAATGTTTGCTGCAAACATGAAACAAACCCAAGAGTCACACTCACTCACCCACCACCATGCCAGAGGCCTCGGGGCCACATGACAGAAATATCCATGAAAAAAATGCAACATTTCCATTCCAACTCCTCCCTCTCTTCCCCTCCATTTCAAGCTTTATTTTCTGATTAACTGGCATTCCTTAAGAAATATAAAGCTTTATTTCCACTATAGCTAATATCTCTAGTTTGATCTTTTCTTAGTTCCTATATCTTGGTACTAAATATTTTTGTATTTGTGTACCAGGCTTTGACGCTCTTTGTTGAGACAATGGCTGTTGAGGGGAGGGAAGGGGCCTTTCATATGAGAGCTGGGGTAGTGGTGGCGGTTCTGGGAGATGCGGAGAGAATGTCTTTGGTCGGGTAGTGATGGTGGTGGACCTCGCTGTAATAGTGGAGAGGAATGTGGTAGTGAGACTAGGGGGGAAGGCTGTTAGGTGACCTCAGTTGTGGAGGGCAAGATGAGTGGGTGGAGACGGGGAAGGTTAGGGGAGTGTTAGGGGTGGTGGGAGAGTGTTAGATGTGGTGGGGGAATGTTAGGGGTGGTGGGGGAGAGTTAGGGGGTGATGGGAGGACACGTCTGTTGCCCCTACTGGTACCTTGAGGTTACCTTCCGATGATTTCAGGGCTCAACGTCCCCGCGGCCCGGTCGTCGACCAGGCCTCCTGGTTGCTGGACTGGTCAACCAGGCTGTTGGACGCGACTGCTCGCAGCCTGACGTATGAACCAGGATAAAACTGCACCAGGCGGGGCTCCTGAGTCATACCTGGTTGATACCTGGTTGATGGGGTTCTGGGAGTTCTTCTACTCCCCAAGCCCGGCCCGAGGCCCGGCTTGACTTGTGAGAGTTTGGTCCACCAGGCTGTTGCTTGGAGCGGCCCGCAGGCCCACATACCCACCACAGCCCGGTTGGTCCGGCACTCCTTGGAGGAATAAATCTAGTTTCCTCTTGAAGATGTCCACGGTTGTTCCGGCAATATTTCTTATGCTTGCTGCCTGGTACATACATACATTAGCTCACACGACAGCTCCAGAGGCGTCCATGAACCAGAAATATAGTGACAGGCAGAGAGACGTGAGACTTCCAGCCAGACAACAAGCCAGGCAACGAGCCAGACATCCCGGCTTCGAGTCTTTCGCAAGTTCTCCTTCCGGGTAGGAGGATAAGAGGCACTAGACGAGGCCTCACCCACCAGGTAGTGCTGTGGTGACGGCCACCATGTTCCCTGATGCCTGAGATTACACGCGTGATTGGCGGCTGGGAATCTTCTTTAAGCGTTCTTTCCTGCTCTAAAGCTGTTAAACATTAATATCTCTCTCTCTCTCTCTCTCTCTCTCTCTCTCTCTCTCTCTCTCTCTCTCTCTCTCTCTCTCTCTCTCTCTCTCTCTCTCTCTCTCTCTCTCTCTCTCTCTCTCTCTCTCTCTCTCTCTCTTTCTGATTCTTATTGGACAAACAACATATTGCTGTTTCTCTGCACTCTCCAGCAGGTCACCACTCTGCCACACTTACCAGTCTGTCTGTCCCAAGGTTTCCCCAATGTCAAGAAACTGTAGTACTAAGGTGCCCTATCCTAACCTACCATAGGACAGAAAACGGAACAGTATCTCAATTTCACGAGCCGCTATCATTTTCTAGTACAATTTTTGGCCATAGAGTACACGTCAAAATACGGTGTTGTATTAGGAGAACGGGTTGGCCATCGCCGCACGATGAGCTGTCTCTACTGGACACTCGTGAAAGGGGAGGCACTTGCCAAATTTGTATCCTGTTAACGTGTGGTAAGGTGAAAAAGGATACCCCGAAGCTGAGATAATTCACAACTGAGATACAGCGATAGTGGATTTATGTGAAACTCTATATACCCGAGACACTGGGATACTGGGAGCGTGTAATCAAAATGTCTCGATAATACTGAAGTGGTCATAGAAAACGTGTCGTCTGGAGGGCGTCGTGTGTGTGTGTGTGTTTTCAATAACTTGATGGCTCTCTGTCGATGACAGAGCTTGAGAGAGAGGGAGCAAGCGTGAGAGAGAGGGAGCAAGCGTGTGAGAGAGAGACAGGTCAGAGAACTTTTGAGATTCTGTGACAAATTCTCGCTCAATCAACAGATTACAGAACCAACTAGGAACGAAAACACACTAGACTTGTTATTCAAAAACAATGGTAAACATATCATATTTATGGGAGCATAACCAAGCAAATATTGCGTCAGCCAGGAAAATGATAGGATGGATTAC